GGCACTGAGCTGGAAATACCAGGAGAAATATCTGATAGCAGAGACATAGCTTATGTTTAGGACTTGTTGCATTTGGGGTGCTTCTGGGACATCCACGTGGAAATGTTCATTAGGTGTTAAAGGACTTGGAACTCAGGCAGAAGTTGAGGGCAAGACTGTGGAATTGGGATTCATCCGGGTTTCAGAGGCAAGTGAAGCCAGCAGCAGGAGATGGCAGGCACCTAAGGTGGGTCAAGGACAGAGAAGGAAGGGGAGGGAGAGATGCTGGGAGCTGAAGTTTGAGGGAAGGTATTGGGTTGTCGGAAAAGTCATGATGTATTCTTTCTATGTTTTTTGTTGCAAAAATGTGTCATGACTTTTCTGACAACCCAATATATATAATTTTTTTTTTAAACTGCAGATACTAGAGGCATTGAAATGCTGATGGAAAGGACACTAGAGAGTGAGAAGAAGATAAAAAGAGCTGAGATAATGGGTAGGAGGGTCTCTGGGAAGTAGGGAGGAGATCAATTCAAAGCCTGAGAAGGGGCGAGCCTGGGGGAGGAGACGTCTTCCAGCAGTGAATGGGCAGCTATCAGTGAATGAAAGATACCGCAAACAGCAGGAGAGAGTGGGTAGGATTGGTGGCAAGCAGCCGAGGGAGTTCTAGTTTCTCAGTGGAACAGGAGGAAGGGTCGTTGCTGAGAATAAGAAACTGACAGGGTCAAGGAGTAGGGTTTCAGTTCGCATGTTAAAGGTTTTCACCTCTGTGGGGTCAGTGTCACAGTTCAGAATCTGGCACTCAGCCCTGTGACCCAGAAGCCTGACTGCCAGCCACAGAAAGCGACTCCCTCTCTCAGCCCCCGACTCGCCTCGCTTAAATTCAGGAACCTGATGTATAAGCCCAGAGATGCCAGCTCATTCAAGTACAAGAAGAAGCTGATCAGCCTAGCCAGCAAGTTCACTCCAAGCAGAAGACCTACCTACAGGGGAACTAGATCATACTCAGAAAGATGTTAATCAGATTAACCGAATGTTTAATCCTGTCAGGCAGTCCCCAGGCTGACTCCCTTGTCCTAGGAGTGGCATCTTTACCAAAGCCTACCTTTCATTCTACGCCTCCAGGGCTGATCAATCCTTTTGATGGGTACATTTTTTTTCTTTAGATATGCTAGGAAATTCAATCAGGTTGAGGATTATCTCCTTTGGCTGGTAGCCATTCAGTCCCTTTCTGTCTATCTCTGAGCTCATCTACTCTGGGTGTCACCACAACCCCCAGCACTGACAACACATTCCCTTTTATAGCATAGAACTGGGCAGGCAAAGTTGTAACAAACATTTAACAGTGCACTACTAAGGGTTGACTATAAGCCCCTTGAGGGCAAGGGGACTGCATCTACCTTGTTCCAAGCTGTAGTGCAGGGAAGGGCACATTTTTTCTGTAAAGGGCCAGATAGTAAATGTTATATGCTTTGTGGCTGGAAGGTCTATGTAGCAGCTACTCAGTGCTGTTGTAGGTGTGGCCATGTCCCAATACAACTTGATTTACCTAAGCAGGTGGCCAGCCTGCAGGCTGCACTTTGCCCCCCTCTTCCATCCCTGCCCCCCCATTCCCCACACGTGCTAGCACCTCGCCCAGCCAAGCACGCAGTCGGTCAGTGCTCAATACATATTTGTAGAGAAGGAACAACCGAGGCCTAGCTCCCCCAATCCATCATGACATCCTTGTTTCTGCTATATTTCTTCCCATATTGGTGTAACCACTGAACTGAGCAGACTGAAGTGACCAAAGGTGGGAGGCAGGTGTGAGCTGGCATGATTTTTCAGAGCCTTCCAAGCGGTAACATAGATTTGTGAATAGATCATTTTATGACTAAAAAGGCCTTATATCCAAATTATTGGACTTTTAAAAATGGCCCGAATAGCTTTGTTAATTGGGTTGGTGCTTAGGAAGCTGCCCTGGCTTGGAGCCTAGGTCTGTGCCCGCAGACTCCCAGGCTCTGAGCTTCCTGAGTGCAGGCCCCTCTCCGCCTGCCTCCCCTGCAGTTCCTTACCCAGAGCAGGGACTAAAAACAGGCTCCCTCGGCGCTTAGCTTATCTCTGTGGTTATCCAATTATAGGTCATTTTTTCCCTTTTTATACTTTTCTTTCCCCACCCCCCCAACACAATTTAAATCTTTGTTAAAATAAAACCAAAGAGCTAATAAAATAATCAGAGTAATCCATCAGCCTTAGAATTTACTCTTCCCTCTTCTAGATTAGACACCTGTTTCTGGTTATAAACGTGAAACTCGTCTTGTGAGAAAGAGACAGAGCAGTTCAGTCCTGATTGCACTAAAATGCTGCTGTTTGTCTTTTGATTTCTAGGAAGAGATCATTATCCTATTCGTGGTAGCAAATAATTAAGACTATTTACAAATTCTTCATGCCGAATCATGACCACCTCAGGACATTCTCAGCACCTGGGCCTCTGTTGAGAGTAAAGGACGGTTGCTGAGTTACACCAGCCTCTGCCTTCAGAACATTTGATCCAGAACCCTCCAACTCACTTAAAGATATGGAGAGAAGAAAATATAATTGTCTCCTCAAGAGCCATTTTTCAAAAACTGACCTCAAAGAGTCAATCTTACCAAGACCACTTCCCAATTTGGAAAAGAAAAATGCTATTTCAGTAACTGAAATTGGTTTAAACATCTCATGTTTGTCAAATATCATACGATATTAATTAGATATTGGACTGGAGGTTTCCAACCCTGTCTGAGGCAGGAGACTTAGAACCACCATGCTGGGCTTTTCAAATCTAGAGATCACAGGGCCTCTCCCCTGATCCAGCGGTTCAAAGCTGGCAGGGACCAGACACATTCATTCATTCATTCATTGCTGGAGGCTAGCACATTGCCTGATAGGAAAGTGCTCAATAAATATTTCTGTAGGAAAATGGTATTGTGGCTCCTTCTAGGGAAGATTCAGGGAACCAGAGTCTGGAGTTTTCAGAAAACTTCCTTTTTACTCTTTCACTTTTTTGCACTGTTTGAATTTTTGCCAGGTTTATTTTTTTCAAGAGTTCTGTTAAAAAAAATAAATATTATCTATAGTTAAAATAATTTAAATCCTATTAGGTCACGATAATTAGAGTTTAATTTATATGTCAGTCTCAAAGCTTGCTCTGTACGGTAAAACAAATTATATGTCCATTGTCTTAGTAATCATATGTCTTAAGTGATATTGTAGAAGTGAAAATAAAAATTGTAAACATCTATTTTGCACTTCCTAGGTGCCAGTGAACAGTCTAAGTGCTTGATATATATTAACTCGCTTAATCCTCTTTTGTCAGCCTCCTGTAATGTGAGGTAGGTATATCTTCACAGAAGGTGGGAGAGAAACAGGCCCAGGGCATTCTGCTATAAGGTAATGGATGGAGCTGTCTGACCCAGGAGCCTGGGTGGCTGGCCACTACACCACGCCGACCCAACTAATATGCAGAACTGGAAACATGGCCAGTCCTAATGCCCTCCATTGGTTTAATACATAAATTGTCATCTGAAGAGATCTCAACAAATACATATCTGTTGAATGAATAAACTGAGAACCATCCCACGGAAGTTCATGCTGCCTCTTTCCAAAGGGAAATAGGGGGAGGGACACCCTTCAGAGAGCCAGGCAGGCCCCGGACTAGGGATCTGCTCCAGAGACAGGACAAGTGCCCCTAGGTCTTCTTTAGCCTGCTTTGCAGCGTCTGTTCCAGTGGCATGGCATCAGCTCACCTCAGTTACCGACAAGAGCAGGGCTTTTTGTCTCTCCTATTGCCAGTACCTAGAACAGTGGCTGGCACTTCGTAAGAGCTCCACAGGTACTTGGCTGAATGAATGAAGCAAGTGCTCTACCCATGACCTGCTGCAGTAAGAACCGTTATGCCCGGCTGTCTCTCCAAACTGGGCCTGTGCCTTGAACTTGAAAATACCCCATCATCATCCCCAATTTATCTAGGGGTGACCTTACAGAGGGCACCTTTCAGAGCTCTTGCTCACCTTCCTCAGAATCATTCACTCGAGTACCCACTGAAAGAGGCAGCCACCTCCACCGCCATTGGGACATGACTCAGCTGATATGCAGATGTATTGAAAAAACCCTAGAGAACAGGCCGCACTGGGACCCAAACTGGGGCCAGTGGTCAGGGGAAACAGTCCTTTGCTCTGTCAGCCTGAGTCTTTCACAATGAAGTAGTCATGTTTCACTCATACAATTAAAAAAGATAAAAACAAAGTGCAGGCCGGCCAAGTGGCGCATTGGTTAAGAGCTGGCTTGGGACGTCAGAGGGCCCCGGTTCGGATCCCACATATGAGGGCCAGTGACACTGCCCTCTACAGCTAAGATGCTGAACAACAGCTCGACCTGGAGCTGGGCTGCCGTGAGTCGCCGGCGACGGCATAGGCTGCAGCCCCTGTTGCAGTGGGTTGCCATGGGCTACCACGTGTGGCCAGCAGCCAGCGTGAGTGGCCAGCAGCCACAGTGAGTGGCCGTCCAGAAGCCGGCGACTGATCTGCCTCACCCGGGAAGAGTGAAATGATGGCACCAACTTGGGGCAGTGAAGCAACGTCCTCCACAACTAGACTGAAGAACAAAAGCACAGCAACTTGTCTGTTCCCCTTTCCCCAATTCCCCAGCGCTGTTCCCATCCCCCAATTCCCCAATAAAAATCTTTAAAAAAAAAACCAAAAAACAAAGTGAGAGGCCCTTTGTATGTCAGGAGGTTTGGAATTGCAGGGCAAATAATGCTATTTCCCCCCAAAATCAGCTTTTTGAGGGGCACATATCTGACAGTGTTCCGAGGAACACTCGTAGTGAGGCACTTATGTGGATTTTCTTTGGGTTTTCTGGGGGGGCCATATAGGGAGTGACAGAAAGTGGGGCCTACAGAACCTCTGCTCCCGGCACTGAGGGATCACCCGGTTTCCTGTTGGACCGCAGGCCTTGGCGCCCCCACCTGCACCCATTTCAGGGCCCTGAATGACTCCACGCACCTTGGATGGTCCTCTTGAAGAAGGCCTTGCAGGCCTCGCAGGAGGCCACACCGTAGTGGTAGCCAGAGGCAATGTCCCCACACACGAGGCACAGGCGCTTGGGGATGGCGTTGAGCATGTACTCGCACTTAATGGCCGAGTCCTCCATGATGCCGCTGGCACAGTCCTCGTAGCTCTTGCGACAGGGGGTGCCTCCCAGCCCGGCGCCTGCAAACATGGGCGGTGAGTCCAGACCATTGGCGTGCGCACCCAGGGCCAGGCCAAAGCCGCCGCTGGCGTCAGACGAGCCACTGGGGCTGTGGTGGCTGAGGGCATCGATGCCCGAGGACGGGCTGGACGGCTCCGTCTTGATGAAGGAGCCACAGCTGGAGCTCAGGTGCCGATCGTCTGCGGACATTCTGTTCAGCAGCCTGTGGACACACAGTGCGGGAAGTCAGAGCTGAGGAGGCTGAGGTGTGACGCCGTCCCCAGGAATTAGCTTTGGGCTCCGGGCACCAGGGGCGGGGCAGCTGGGAGGGGCTCTATGCTAAGGCATCGGTGAGATAAAACACTGGTCCAGAAGGTCAATTGGTCATGAAACGGCCCGGCCCAGAGCAAGTTTTCTGGCATTAAACCCCTCCACCTCCCAGAACCTTCTGAGTCCTCAAAGAAAAAACTACTAGCAACAAGCTTCAGATTAGGCACCCAGCCTTTTGCAAATTGCCAGCTCGAGGGTGACAAAAAATGGTAACAATTCAGCCAAAATACTTGGCCAAACTTACTGCACAAGAATAAAACATGATGGCTACACATGAAAGTCCAGGTGTGCCAGGCCCTGGACCAAACACCCTCAGGACAATGATCTGATAACCCAGTTTGTTTGGCCCCACTGGGGCTTCAGGGAAGTCCAAGCTCGGACCTTCCCCCCATGTGCCACCATCACTGAGATTGGGACCCGAGACCCCAAAGCACCCAGTCAGGGCAAGAGGCAGGGCAAAGACCCCAGCCAAATTAGCTACTTCCGGGCTTTGCCTCTGGCCCGGGGCACATCTGCGGAGTGGCTCCAGGCCCCCTCTCTCACTTCCCTCCCCTGAGCAGGCTAGCTTCTGCCCAGACCCTCATCCCCAAAAGGCTGTGCCTCCAAGGCACAACTCTGTACATTCCCCAGCTGTTTCTTAAACTTAAGTTTCAAGCTTTAAGCACCCCTGCCTCACCTGTAGTGTCAGGGAGCATTATCCATGAGGTAGGATCGCTAGGAAGGGTCAACTTCCCCCCAAGGAAAGCCCCTCCTCCCAGAACCATGCTGGGTGGGTGAGAAGGCAGCTGGGTGTGACCTTCCTACATCACAGCTTCCAGGATGAGGGGAGGGGCCTCTCTCCACAGGGGTCAAGGAAAGCAGGGAGACGGAGCTGTGTGTTTAGGGAAGCCCAGCTGCAGCCCATGCTCCAGACCTCTGCGGCCAGCCAGGGTCTGGAGTCAGGAGCTGGTCAGGGTCCATCTGGCCCTGTCCTGGCCCAGCATGTGGCGATAAAGAGGAGGCCAAGGCTTATGCCTGAGGAGCAGCAGGTCAAAGAAAAGAGGGAAAGATCTTGGAGACAGAAAAGGGCTGCAGGGGCTGGCTGTACGGCCCCCTGGGTGGAAAGATGGCTCTGGGCTGGGAGGGAGGGTCTCAGTGCTGGAGGGTCCGCTGGGGGAGCAGCCACAGTCCTATCTCCAAGAAAGAGAGGGGCCGGAGGGGAAACCAAGGCTCAGGGGACGGCTCACCTTGGGTGTCTGAGCCGTGAGGCTGGGGGCAGAGAGTTGGGACAATTGTGGCCTGCTGTCCACTGGAAATGCTGCTCAAAGGGAGCCCCTGTTTTCTGAGCAGCACATTGGGGAAAGGATTGGTCACCACCTGGGGAAGGGGTTGCCTTTTCACCCCCCACAAAGCCTACCCCCCAACACAACCTTGGCCACACATCCACATCACCAAATACAATCTTGTGATGGGGAGAGGCCTTCACAGTCCCTGGTCCCACTAGTGAGTCCGTAGTTAATACACCTCCCAAGGGGGTGCCCCATCCATCTACATTTGAACATTTCCAGGGGGGGGGGGAGTTCAATGCCCCAGAGACAGTTCTAATCACAAACTGGATGCTGGAGATATTAATACAAAGATAAAAGATACATATTAGACTCCTCTCAAGAAGTTTATTATTTACTGGAATGTAGTGTTTGAAGGCTCCCAGGTCTCTTCTGTTCAGAATTGAATCCTCCGAGTTCTTGGAAACACCCTCCGACAAGCTCCAGGTTTTCCTTACATTGATAGCGGGTGCCCCCCGTTGCGGGTTTCCTCTGGATCCTTTTACACCATACTGGCTGATGCCCTGTCATTTTCCTGGGCTCCCCACAGCCACCTGCCTCCCCTCCATCCACCAATGGGTCCCTGGTGTGTCCTCAGGAAAAGCCATTCGTGGGTTGGTCATAGCCCAGGTAGAAAATCTTCCTGAGCAGGCACACACGCAACTTTGGAAAGGTCCCTCCCCACAGCCCCTTGCACAGGGCAGGCAGGGAGAGCTGACCAAGTGCTCTTTCATTTCTAATCCCCTCCTGCCCACTGCCTTAGGCTCTGCAGTTCACAGGAACATCCCAAGCCCATTGTGACAAGCACTGCTGGGGGAGGCAGCTTCCAGAAGCAGCCCTCCATCCTCACCCCTCCCCTAGAGCTTCAGAGATTACGGAGATACACTTGACATAAACAGTAATTGTAGCAACTGCTATTTAGTGAGCCTGTATTATGTGCCGCCAGCTTCAGAGCTGTTCCTTGGAGGTACAACAAGCATGTGCCCTGAGGGAAGAAGTTGGAAGCCCTGCAGCCATTCCCGGTGGAAAGCAGGCCACAATTGTCCCAACTCTCTGCCCCCAGCCTCGTGGCTCAGGCACCCAGGGTGAGCCGTCCCCTGAGCCTTGGTTTCCCTTCCTGCCCCTCTCTTTCTTGGTACAGAAGGGCACAAAGCATCCGGCAGTGGGCTGTGCAGCCAAGACCCACCCTGTCCAGACCCTGCCCGCAGGCCCAGGTCAGCGAGCCTGGGGTTGAGAAGGAAGCAAACTTGACCAACCAGAGCTACCACAGAAAGCTGTGCCAATCTGGTGCTTCAGTCCCAGCTGAGGAGAGAGGGGGTGGGGGTGGGTATCTAATGATTTCATTCCTACAGCTTTCTCATTTCCGCGATCATTATTTTGGCCCCACTAGGATGTCTTTTCCAGGGACAGTCAACCTGTATTTGGGGCACCACTATGTGCTAAGTGCTGGCCAGATAACAAATATGAGAGGCACAGCCCACAATCCCAGAAGCCCTCACAGGAAAAACAGACACTAAACAAGCACACGTGTGCCGTGCTCTACAGAGGGCCAGGTGAATACAACATGGACGGACGGGGGCTCCCTGCTGCGCCTAGCTGGTCTTGCTCCATTCATTCAGCAATGACAACCAAAACCTTCTCCAGACATTGCCAAATGTTCTGGATTGGGGGGGGGGGGGGGGGGAGAGAGAGAGAGTTGAGAACCACTAACTTAGATGTATGAGGGAAGCGGGTGGACATAGGGCACAGGAGCTGAGGGTTGGGCAAATGAAGGATGCAGTTTTGGCACAGAGGAGAGAGATGTCAGAAGGGGTGGAATTGGGAGAAAATAGAGGGGTCAAGAGGGTGATGGTTTTCAGGGGCTGGAGGCTGAGGTAGAGGCAGGAGGAAGGAGCGGGAAAAGAGAAAGGATGAGAGGCTGGGGCAGGAAAGATTTCAGAGGGGGGACCTGGTGCCCGGTCCAGGACAGTGTGGCCGCGGAATGAGGGCGAGGTGGCTGACACTTGTGCTCTGGGGAGGAGAGAGTCAGGTCGAGTCCATCATCCGCGGTGGCTGAGACCCAGTTCCCAACTGGGTTGATGACTATTGACTTTATGGGGAGGGGACAGATGCCACATCTAAGCAGCCTTTGAAAGAGCAGTAGTCAGAGGTCGAAGTCCCTCAGGGCATCATTTTCCCTGTGGTTTGTCTGGGAAGAGGAGTGCAGGCAGAGCTGCCCTGGTTTCCATTTTACCACCACCTGATAAAGCATGGCCTCCCTCCTGCGCCCACTCAGCCATGCCGCTGGCCCTCCTAGTGTCCAGTGTGAGGCCCTGCACCCCAGAGCGGCCTGAACTCCAGGGCAGCCTGGGCTGACTCGGGGGCTCTCTGCTGGACATCGCTCTGCTGGACAACAGAGTGGGTTGAAGATTTGCCTCATGCAGAGACCAACAGAATTTTGGAAGTTCTGAATGAAACCCAGACTGTTGGGTTTCACGGACCTCTAGAGGTAGAGAGATGCCAGGCTACCACCATAAATTTTTAAACCGGAGTCCCAGGGATCTATGTCCCTCAAGGTGGCCTGCTGGTGGAAGGCAGCAGGAGAGAAGCTTGTGGAGGTAAGAGGGGTGGACAGGCCTGATTCGCTGGGTCCTGGCTGGTTTTCCTCTACAGGGTGGAGCCCACCCCACCCCATGCAGAGATCTGGGTCATACCCAGGGGGGCTGCACTCAGAGCCCTCTCCTGCCTGTGTGCTGGGGCCACCCCTGTAGAGCAGAAACCTTACGAGCCTGCACTCTGGCATCAGACGAGCCAGTTCTACCACATAGTATCTGGTGACTTGGAGTAAACAGGTCACCCTCTCTGGGCCTCAGGGTCCTCATCTGTAAAATGGGCTCAATCACAGCATCCCCTTCAAAGGGCTGTTCTGGGTGAACATGAGCTAATGCAGGCAAAACATTTAGAGCGTCCTGGTGCCCAGCAAGCACTCAGGAGACTGTTGGCTGCTTGGTGTGATTCTCCCAGAAAATCCAGGCCTGTGGTTAAACCCAGCAAAACCCTTCCCGCAACCAAGTCCCCAGATCTGGGATTGAGGATAATTCCATAGATACTTGCCATTTACCAGGAGGGAAAGTAGCTGGTTAGGCAAATTAAGTGGCTACATAAGCCTGAAACGGGAATCTACTGTACAGAAGAAAAATGGTTTCTGAATACTTGAGTACACTCTTACGTACATTTCCATAATTAATTGGCTAAACGGGGGCCACCTGAGCTATTCATTGAAGCCAACTCTCAGGCCCTCCTGCAAGGCTGTATTTGTTAGAAACCAGCCCCTCAGGCACCTGAAAGTAACAGTTAAACCTCCTTTAAAAATATTACTAAAGACTGAGGGGCTGCCGGGTGGCTCAGTTGGTTAGAGCGCGTGCTCTGAACAATAAGGTTGCCGGTTCGATTCCCGCATGGGATGGTGGGCTGTGCCCCCTACAACTAGATTGAAAATGGCGACTAAACTTGGAGCTGAGCTGCGCCCTCCACACTTAGATTGTAGGACAACGACTTGACTTGGAGCTGATGGGTCCTGGGCAAAACACACTGTTCCCCAATTAAAAAA